GGCAGGACCCCTCGGCCTCCAGCATGCGGAAGCCCTCTCCACATGCAGAAGCCTTCTCTGCACGCTTGCTCATCTGGCTCTGAGGCTGAGCGTCATAAGTCAGTCTTGTAATTTCTTATGCATGTGTATATCTTGTGTTATATCTGTTTCTCTAGTGAATTACTAACCCTGACTGACACAGACTGGTTCTTGTGTTAATTCTGTATCTTTTTAGTGATTTTTATTTTTTATTTTTTTTGTTCCTTGAATGGCTTCAGGGCACTTTTGGCCAGTGCGAGAGTTGTGAGGTTCGAACTCCAGCAACCTGAGGCTGAGAGCTTTGTGGAAGCAGCCACTTAAAGGCCTGAGCTAGGGCCATGCCCCCTTCTTAGTGATTTTTAAAAAGATCATCTGTCCTTCATGCTCTATTTGAAGACAAATGGTTAAATTGAACTTCCCACAAACGTTTTTTCCTTTGCCTACTAGGTAATCTAGCTTTAATCTATTTTGATATATTGTCTTTCAGATTTATATTTGTTGCTTAGCTAAGAGATTTAATACATGAGCAATTTTATTAGTTATGATTTCTAGTACAGTGTGTAATCAAATTATTCTATTTAACACACAAATGGGAGTTGAATATCTCCATATTTCATCTTTGGCCCAAGTGGGCAGCCTATGGTATTGGATTATTTTTTCTTTACCCATTTATCATCGTCTTTTTTTTTTTTTTTTTAGGCTAAGACCCATTTTATTTTAAATTCAGTAAAGATAAACTTATCCTGCAAAAGTAACAGCCGGCCGGGCAGATAGCTCAGTAGATTAAAGCGCCTGCTTAGACAGAATGCAGCGGCCAGGGTTCGATCCCCAGCAGGCCCGCAGCCCCACCTTCGGGGCTGCTGATACTGAGATTGAGACTGGGCGTAGTGGCATTCGCCTATAATCCCAGAGCTTGGGAGGCTGAAAACAGAATCACTATGAGTCTGAGTTGGATCTGCATAGTGAGACCCTGTAGACCCTGTACTGAATACATAAAAAAAAAAAAAAAAAAAGTAACAGCCTTCCAAAATAATCTAGCCAGCAAACCATTGTATAGCTGAAGTAACTTACTACCATTACAGAAATTGAGAGAATATATTAAAGAGATTCTCAACTCTGCATGGTTGTTTCCACAAGAGATGATAAAAGGAGGCACAGGTGGGGCCCCCAGACCCCGAGGAGGGGAAGTGAAACCCAGCAAGCTGCTTTTCTTCCCAGAGTTACAGCATTTCTCTGCAAGTTGAAAATGAAAGCTGCAAAGAGGGTGATGGACCTGGATTGCAGCACACTCCTGGCATGGGTACGTACCCCTGCACTCACCGAGGAGCAGGCTGCAGACCAGAAGCTATTGATCTGAACATAAAGCTGAATGATAAGACTGAAGCTCAGAAGGTACATTCTGGAGAACACGTTCCAACAAGTGAAAGAAAATGAACCACTCTACCCCGTGGAGGCAGTGAGGTAAGGTTTTCTAAAACTTACTCAGCTGCGGAGATAGCTCAGTGGCCTAAGCTATTTTGCCTACCTAGTCAGTGCAAGGTCTTGAGTTTGATCCCCACTACCAAAATAATAATAATAATAATGATAATAATAATTTTTTAAGGAAGGAAATGTTTATTTGGCTCACCGTTTGTAGAGGTCTCAGTCCATATTCAGTTTACTCCAAAGAAGAGGAGCACACGGCAGAGGGCAGCTGCTCGTGGTGTCAAAAAACAGCACAGCAGCAAGAGCAAAAATGGAGGAGCAGCGGCAGTGGCAGCAAGAGAGGCAGAGGCTCTTATTCAAATCTTAACAAAAGGTATACCTGTTTAAATCTTAACTCCTGTCACTTCCTCCTAGTGATCCCTAAGCTCAGAAGGAACCAGGTGGCATCTTACTGAGGCAGACTCACTGTGCATGCAGCGGCCCGTTCACCCCGCGCCTCCTCTGGACATGGTGAATCCGGTTCCTTCCTGCTGTTTTCCCCTCACTGACCCCCTCACCTTCAGCTCTGGCAGCTTGCTGGTCCTGGGAAGAGCTGCCTGTCACAGGCTTTGTCTGTGGGAACAGTGCCTATCTGCTGGGATAAGATAGGGAGAAATGCTTTTTGCAGGTCTCTTGTTTGCAGGTATTCCAGAATAATCTCAAATGCATGACTAACCCCGAGAACTTTCTGACTATTCACCTCCGCAAAATTGCCAAGGGGAAGCTGGGCATGATCACCCCTATACTCTGAGCTTGTTTATACGTGCATCCCTGTGATGGGTGTCATCTCTTTGTCTTCCAATCACACAGGATGTTGACTCACCTTAGGGGAGTCTGGTGCAACATAAACCAGGTCTTCTTCTTTGAGTTCACTGTAGTGCTTTGGTGTGATGCAGATGTCATTCCACTTCACTGTCCTTTGTCTCCGTCAGCTCTGGCCTTTTCCAACTGGCCTCCATGGCTTGTAAATAAAACTGCACAGGACATAGTACTCTTCAGTTTTCTGCATAATATCACTGAATCTGCTTATGAAGTATTTTTCTTTTTTTATGTATTCAGTAAAGGGTCTACAGGGTCTCACTAACAGATTGGACTCATAGTGAGCCTCCTGTTTTCAGCCTCCCAAGCCTGGGATTGCAGGGACACGCTACCACACCCAGTCTCAATCACCAGCTCAGCATGCCCGGGGGCAGGGTCAGCAAGGCACGTGAGGGGTCCGAATCCCAGTCTCTGCACTCTGCCTAAGCAGGCACTTTAGTCCACTGAACTATCTGGCCGGCCATTGCTTATGAAATTGCTTAATATCTTTTAAGGCCATCAATCCATCAACATGACGGTCAGTGATAAGGCTGTGGACAACTTGTCTTTGAGCACGGTTCCTGTCGTTTCCACCTGAGTGTGACTCTCAGCTACACTGTAGCTTGAATTTCTGCTCTTGTGCTTTTCCTTCCACTTTTGCTTACAGAGTTCTCATCCTTCCTCCTGTTGTCTCTGTTTCATTAGCTTCTTTGTTCTCTGCTCATCGTTTCGATACTGGCTCAGTCCCTCCACTTGCTCTCGGCTTCTGTCCCTCCTCTCAGTGATCCTCACTCAAGTCTTGCTTTCTTCCAGCACCAGAAGTCTCAGTAAAATCTGGCGACATTTCAGATGACACTGGTGCCTCAAAAAATGGTCTGAGGCATGGACGGAGATGAGGAGCAGGCTCAGAAGACCTATCTGGATGGTCTTGGTCTTGCTAGCATCTTCCTTCGGAATCTTCCTCCCCATCATCTTTTAAATTACCTACAGTTAGGCTCTTCTTCTCAAGGGAGCGAGTGTATATAGGGCAGCCCGACAATTTCCCTTGGCATCAGGGCAGGAGGAAGAAGGATGGTTAGACAGTGCCCAAGATGCTCCTTCCTGCCTGATCGTGGGGAGCTGAGCACAGGCTGGCCTCCTGCATGTCCTGCATGGCCCTTGGGAGCAGACCCAGGCAAGGGGGCATTATGCTCTCTATCTGGGGCTCAAGCCTGGACAGAGTGGAGTTTTGCTTCCCCACCACTGTGTGTTCCTTTTGGCCTCAATGAAGGGTCTCTGTCCCAGGCATGTCTGTTTTCCTGCCTGGTCTTGGAATCTTTTTTTATGGTGGTCTCTAAGACCCTTACATTGCTTCCCGGTATAGAAGACTGTATGACCCCATTTTTCTACACATGATGAGTACACACAGCCCAACTCGAGCACTGCGCTGCTCTAACCCCTTCCCGGGGACACATACATGCTTTATTATATCTGTAATCTCTTTGTCATCTTCCAAGCGGAAATTCAGTGTCCCTCCTTTAGGGAATACGGCCTGCTTGCTTTGGTAGCAGAATTAATGGCCACTCAGACATCAAAACATGGAATTACTGGGTCAGCAGGTTTTGCACTCGTAGCTCTGTTTATCAAGGGTCCCAGCCACTTTCCTCATCTCCCCTCACGACTGTCCAGCTAGACACAGTCCAGATTTTAAACTCCCATGTAGTTCCTATCTCCGGATTGAAACGGAGTGGTGGGACTGTCCAGCTTGTGAACAGCTGATTCTGAGCGCAGGTTCCAACCACCTTCCAACACAATTGTAGTGTGTGTGAAGGAGCAAGACAGTCACAATGGGTGACACCCAGGCGGGGTCGCAGTCATTGGCTGTCCTTCGAGCATTACCCCCACACACGCTGCTCTTGATATATAAGAAACGGAGATCCCTAACACACACAGACAATACCAGCAAAGCACCCCACCCATGAGAGGAAAATGAAAGCTAGCAGGCACCTTTCAGGGCATATCCAATCGGCTGAGCAGTCTCAACAAGGGCCGTGGAACGAGGAAGGTTAGAGACCCAGGTGTGGTCAGAAATGCGGGGCGACCACTACAATCTCAAGGGAAGGGTCTTCCCAAGACTGCAGTCCTCGGGCTTCTGCTGTGTGTAGACAGAGCAGGGCTGGTATCCCTCTGCTGGTATCCCTCAGTGGTGCTCCCCAGGTCACGGTGGCGTCCTTCAGTTTGGTGAGGGTCTCTCCAGGTCAGGATGACCTTAGTGTCACAGCAGGGACCCCTTCACCCAATGGTGGTAGATTCACATGGGGATCCCCTCCACTTGGACTGCTGCGGGGTGATTAGAATGACTGTTTGTGGACCCTTCCACCTTAGCTTGAGGGTCTCCTGATACCAATCCTTTACCCACACAGTCTCGGGGAGAAAAGGGGGATACAGGACTAGATATGCTAACTGGGGCTCTCTCTAATGCCCAAGAAGCTATTGTGCAGGAGGCCTTCCCAGCTGGGTTAGTTGTCTTTCTGGGTAAGATTCCTCCACTACTCTTAGCGGTTGAGCCAGCCCTCTGAGGATGCTGAGAGGCTTGGCGTACAAGATCTCATAAGGGGAACAGCCTGTGTTCTTACGAGGAGGGTGTCATGGTCCGAGGAGTACAGTGGGCAAGGATTGGGCCCAAGTGAGTCTTGTCCCTCGGAAAAGTTTTCTTAGCCTTGGCTTTTTTTTTTTTTTAACTTTGTGATATTTATAATTCATTGCACAGATATAGGTTATACAAATTAGTAACACAAGTTATTTCTTAAATTCCAAACAATTTCTAAAATATTATTACAGCAGATGCCTGGGATAATGAAACATCAAGGTGGAAATCATACTCTAAATAGTTAAATGCAACAATGAAAATACTGCATTTTAATTAAGGGAAAAAATTTGTGCTTAAATGCTCTAATAAACTAGGTAGCAGGGCAACTAACACTACAAATAAGTCACGGTGGTCCATTTTAATATATGCATATATGATTATTCTTTATATAACCCCTTCTCTTGAAAATGCATGAGTAAAACAAATCCAGATAAATGATTTAAAGAAATTTTAATTTTTCCTAATACTTAAGATCTATGGTGGACTATCATCTAGACTTCATATACTTACAAATTCAAACATAAAAGACACTACACTTAGAAAGAAGGGTATTTTTTTAAAGATGTTTTTAATTGAATTAATGAGATAAAAAGATAGTGAGGCCCTGTTTGCTACTTACATGAAAGAAGATTTTTAAAAATAATCACTGCACAAAATACAAAGGGTATGGTTATGCTGTGGCATTAAATTTTTCTCCATGTTTTTCTTGGCTGTTCAAGAGCAAATTAAAGTTTCCACAGCAAATTTGTTTTCAAAATGCCGAATTGTGATACAATCGCTGGCTTCACGTTTCTGAATACCTTTAATAGTTTCTCTGCGCTGCAATTTGTAAGTTTCCTTGTCCTGGCACAGTCGATAAATAAAGAAACCCAAGCCATCAATATTTTCAATTCGATCAGTAGTAACCATGTGTTCATGAATCAGGTATGACTGAGGCAAATAGGTTCTAGCCTTGATGTTAATGAGTAACTCCAACAGGTTTCTGGAAGGCATAACAATGGAAGTATTCAGGGGGATCACATAGCACTTATCCAGGTTAAGATCTAAATAGGCAGTGAGTTTCTTGTTAAAATCATGAACAATGTTGGCAGGATCACTATCTGCAAATTCTGGAACAGGCACACTGATGAATTTGACCTCATCTTCTTTAAAGATCTTAATATTTTCTTCAGTTGTCTGGTAGCGAGCAGCTGGGGCATCTGCAGAAGGCTCATTTAGGATGACATCATCTTTGATGTACTTTATTCCACAGTAGTACACGTCATCTGGTTGAAGTGCAAAATATTTGTACAGGTATGCTCCACCAAGAATGACTCCTGCAAGCATAAATGCTAGTCCAAAGCACATGCACCAACACCAGGCTCTTCTCTGGCCAACTGGTACCACATCATCTGGGTCCTTGCAGTCCAAGGCGACGGCGTCCGGGGGGATGATGAGCGCCTCCTCACCGCTCTTCGGCTCGTCCTTCTTGGCGTCCTTCTGGGCCAGAGCCGAGTTGAACGTCACCTTCACCATCGTGCGGCCTGGGGCGCCCCGGAGCGGGCTGGAGGTGCGGGCTATGGGCTCCCGGCTGCAGCTGCAGCCTCCTCGACCCTGCTGGGGTAGCGACTCCGTGGACGCTGACGGGGTCGGGCGGCTGTGCAGCGGAAGAAGCCAGCCTTGGCTTTAAAGTCTTATTTATCTTTTTTATTTTTCCTGCGCTCTGGGGTCGATAGGCTGCCTATAAATTTTAATTAACTTCCAGTGATCACACCACCGATTGAACCACTGATGCCACAAAGGCAGGTCCATTATCAGAACCCACACTCAAAGGGAGACCATAATGTGGGGGGGAGGGGGACTGGGGAGCCATGTCTTATAGCAGCACCTGTGTCACTTCTTGGGCTTTTTCAGTTTGGTAGGGGAAAGCTTCCACCCAGTTGTCATAGGTACAACCATGACCAGGAAGGAGTGGAAACCTCCCTATTTGGGCAGTTCTGTTTAATCAATTTGAATATCTTTAAATGGTGCTGACCCCAGTTTGTGGAGCCCTGCCAGGGTCCCCAGCTCTACTATGGGGTTTTGTTAAGTACAAACAACACAGTGCCAGATGACCTGCTTTGTCAAGGGAGACATCTGGGGAATGTAGAAATACCAGCCGAGCAGAATCAAGCCCACGAGCCTGAGCCCCAGGCAGGCGGGCACTGCAGCTGGACTGCAAGGGAGCTTATATCACCCGTCTGGCCCCTTAGTAAGGTGTCCTCGGGTAGTTCCCTGGACAGGCCACCCCTGGGCCGTCGCTGTCCCCGGGGACCCGCTCGACGGCCACCTGTTCTGGTGAATGCCCAGGAAGCAGCTGCATGTTTTCTCTGAGGTCCTGGCAGCACTTGCGGTTTTGCACCCCAGGAGCTTGCTCCTGAGGCCATGCTGTGGCCCGCCGCCCTCCTCTGTGCACTGTGCCAGCTGCTCGGGGATGCTGGGGCCCAGCTGGGCGCAGTGCTAGATGAAGTCACCTGATGACTCTTGGAACGCTTGAAGCCACTTGCATCCGCCTCAGCAAGCTCAAGGAAGCAGTCTTGGCCTTCTACTCATGTCCAGGTAGAAGCTCTTCTGCACGTCCAGCTGCTTCAAGGCCAGCTCCTGTGTGTCCTGCTCACCTCTGCTGTGGCTGCTGCTGTGCCCACGGCTGTTGCATTGCCACCATCGAGCTCACAGTCTCTGTCACTGTCCCTGTTGCTGTGGCTGGCAGTGAGGTAGCCCTGTGCTCTATAAGGCTCATGCTCTGGGACCCCTCAGCCTCACCTCACCCTAATATCAGAAGGCGCCTCCGAACTTACCTCAGGCCTCAAAGGGCATGGTGATGGAACACGGGAGGTCCTGGGAGTGTGGAAGGGGACTTTCTGACCCAGTGGTGGGGCGGTCTCAGCCAGATGCCAGGCACGCTGATGGTCTCTGGCTCTGGCCTTGTGCTGGTATCGCTGGGTGTAAGGAGGTGACCCCTTAGAAGAGGGGGCCTCTGAGCCATCTGGGAGAAAACATGGTGTTTCTTTGGGGAGGTTGTTTGAGCATGCCACAGTGGCACCCATAACTCAGGAAAGGGGCTCCCTCAGCCAAGGGCGTGGGAGGACAGATAACTAATTGCTATAATGAATTCACATAGAGAAACTGACCTGTGTGTCTGGGATCCCCTGTGATGACTGCCAAACCTTCTGGACCAGAGCCCCTCCCACTGAATCTCTGCCCTGTCACCCAACCCGAAGGTTGGCCACCCCACCTCACAGATGTCCAGAGGGTCCCAGGAGTGGACTTCATGCCATGATTGCCATCAAATCCCTTTTAAAAATGTTTGGTCATAAGCTCTAGCAGAGCAGACTTGTTCTGATGCCCTCCCATGACTCCTGCCACCCACTGGAAAAAGACAACAGAGATGTCAGTCTCCTGGTTTAGGCTCTGGAGGAGATGCTTCAGCCCCTCTTGGTGTCAGCGGCCAGACATCCTGGCTATCAGAGCCATGCTGCTCTAAGTTGTATGAGGAGGACGGTCCTGGAACCACAGCCCAGGTCTCTGCACCCCGGCCCTGTGCACCCACCCCAGAGTTCGGGTGCGACATCTATCTCATTCACATACTTCCACTCACACATACCTTCCACAAGACTCCAACCCGCAGGGGCAGCCTGAAGCGCTCTGGCTTCCCTGCAGTCCAGCAGCAGCCAGTCGGGAAACACAAGGATGGCTAGTCCTCTGTGGAGACCCTTACAGGGGACTCCCTCTAATCCTGTTTCAGATCCCTTCTCAATCAGGGTCCCCATCCTTACCATGCTTTAGAGGTCTGCCAAATGCCACATCCTTCTCTCCACGTCAGCCCCCTTCAGGCAGCCAGCCAGATTGGTGGCCTCGGCTGCCAATCTGCAGGCCTCCCACAGCGCAGGAAGTGTTCCATAGCACCTGCTCAGCAGGAGCTTGAGTCCGGCCACTTGAGTCCCCACTCTGTCCCTGGGGGAGGCAGGCTGTCACAGGTGGTCGTGTCAGGTCCCATCATCCTTGGTCAGGAGCCAAATGAAATTGCAGATGAACAGGATGGGGAACAAAGCCACCAAGACACAGAATAGGAGAAAAGGACATTGGGGACTCACGTCCCCCAAGAGCCCAGAGCAAGGCTTTGCTTTTCTACAGGGAAATCTGTTGTTGCAGGGTGATGCCAAGTAACATGATCACAGAAGCAGATGTGGAGTAGGGTCAGGGGACTGGCAGACTCTGGTGGGAATTTCCAGGACTGCTGTGCTCCCTGACATGATGTCTAGCTGGGCCTGCACACAGCTGTAGCCACCGCTACCAGCTCTCCCAGGGAGGCGGCCTCCTGCATCCTGTGGATGCACAGAAGGAAGCATAAACAGTTGATGGAAGAGAGCCTGCTTCCATGTGGCTCTCAGAGATGACAATGATGAGGACGTTTTGTGGCAATCAGGTGGCTCTGGGCACAGCAGAGGCCTCTTCAAGGCGGCCCTCAGTGACCTACACCTCCTGATATCCACACCCTTGTAGCATCCCTGCTTTGTAGTTGGGCTGCACCTGCTGACTGGGCTGTCCCTGCTAACATCCTTCTAGCCAGCAGCCCCTGGGACCAGTGATGGGGCGTCACTTCCATGAGCAGGGCACAGGAGCTCTGCCTGCCACTTCTCCAGACTCTGCTGTGGACTCCCACGAAACCAGCTGCCACAGTGGAGGCCATAGCACAGGAGATGGAAATGTGCTATGGCTCTTGTCCGGTGGGGATATGAGGCCCACAGGCCAATGGCTTCCTAGGAACTTAGTCCTACAGTGACCTCGAGGGCTTGGCCCTCCCATGGTCACTTTAATTGCAGCTTGAGAGAAACCCTGAGCAGGAAATGCAGCCAAGCTGGGCCAGATTCCTGCCCCACAGGAAGGGCAATCACAAGAGTGCGTGGCTCATGCCTGTAGATTAATATGTCACCAGCAATAGAGAGCTAGACAATGATGGCTCACTGGAGAGTGTCCATGACCCCACTCACCCCTGGGACTGAGCATGGAATCAGGGCCTTTGTGCTGAGCTACATTCCCAGCCCTCTATACACACACAATTCTGGGGGCAGGGTTTTATTATGTCATTAAGTTGTCTAGGCTGAGCTCAAACTTCTGATCCCCCTGCCTCAGCCTCCCAGAGTGCTGGGGTTACAAGCACGTACACCACACTGGCTCACTTCAGTTTTATATTGAGATAGGCTTTGTGGCATTAAACTTGGCCATTAGGGGGCCACAGCTGTAACATAGCACCTGCCTGGCAAGCTCAAGGTTATGAGTTTGACTCCTGGTACTCCCCACAATTTTTTTTTTTAAACTTAGCTAGCTATAGTAGTGGTTAAGAGTCCAGGTTTTTTTTACTACTTGGGTTTGGCCTAGCAAACCTAGAACCCCAACTCTTTAGCTATGCAGGCTCAGGAAAGACAGTTTCCAAGAGCCTGTATTAGGAGGCCTGCCCATTCGCTCAGTTGTTTAAATTCTGTTTAAAAAAAAAAAAAAAAAAAAAAAGTACCTTCTTAGGCAAAATAGTCAGGCTCAGAATTCTGTGGTCATCCTCAGATCCTCATGCCTTACCAGACCTGCCCTGAAGGCATCTTGGGGGGGGGCAAAAAAAAAATCCTCCAAGGGCCTGTATTTCCTCCAAGTGAATTTAATTCTCCGCTTGTAGTAATCACACAGGATACTGTAAACAGACTAACACACATAGCCCTGCCTGTGAGGTGACCAGCGCTCAGTAGAAGGAAGCTATTAGGAACAATAATGTCAATCACAACAGAATAGGATTCTGCATAAGACAGCAAGTGAGATGCAAGCCTCTAATCCCAGCACTCTGGGAGGCTGAGGCAGCAGAACTGCATGTTCAAGCACAACCTAGACAATTTAGCAACTTAGTGAGACCCAGTCTCAAATTTAAAAGTATAAAAGGGGCTGGAGATGTAGCTCAAGGAGAAAGCCTGCGCTTCAGCCCCCAGCACTGCAAAAGAAATAAGTAAGGCCACTGCTGGTATAGCAGGCAGACACACCGAGACAACAGCAGGATTTGGGGGCAGATGCATTTCACATTGATAGGCACTGCTTGGGGTCACTCCCAGACGATCAAGCCTCGATTTCTGGTGGCCTCGGGCTTTTCTGTGATGCCCAAGCAGGAGATACAAAGGCCAGACAGAACGGCCTGGCAGCTCTCTGATCACCTAGCAGGGTGAGATTATGGGTTACAAGGCGGAGAGTCACAGAGCTTGTTAGAATCAGGCATCCTGCGTGTTCCATTATACTCTCAGGGTTACCAGGCTCAGGAAAGTAATTACAGAGCCATGGAACAGTTATAGAGCTATGCAGTTTCAAAAGAACAAAGGTGTTTTTTTTTAAGAATCATTTTTCTAGTAGTTTTGCCCTTTCGCCATAGGATCCAGCTCTACCGCTCCTTGGGCACCTAGCTGAAGGAACTGAAGTCAGTAGGAAAGAAAGTCTCGTATCCCTGTCTTACTGCAACACTGTTCACGGGAGCAGGGATGTGGGGTCCGCCTAGCGCCAGCCAGCAGATAGACGCATCCAGAAAGCAGGGTGTAGATCTATGCTGTGGAAGTTCATCCCACCATGGGGAGGGAAACCCTGCCAAGGGCAGCAGAGTAGATGGACCTGGGACTCATCGCAGTGAGAAAAATATACAGACACAGGCCAGGAGCACAATTTTTCTCTCCTTTAGGATGACCTAAAAGTAGGAGGGGGGCTCTATTGCAACAGGGGAAGAGGACAAGGAAGGAGACAAGGGGATATAAGGTAGATGAAGGGAGGCAGGGAGGGCGGCAGGGCAGGGAGGGCAGGAAGAACGCTTGCTGTATGTGAGATGGCAGTAGCACTGCAAACCCCATTAATCTGCATAATTAATGCAAGTTTACTTTATAACAAAGAGACATTGATATGTAAGAAACTTTTTTCTTTTTTAAAGTGAATAGACTAGGGTGGGGAGATGGCTCAGTAGGATAAGCGCTTGACTGGCAAACGCAAGGATCTGAGTTCAATCCCCGGTTCCGCCAAAAATAAATAAATAAATAAATAAAATAAAAAAATTAAGTGAATAGGCTAGGTGTGGTGGTGAAAGCCTGTAATCCCAGCACTCTGAGGCTGAGGCAGGAGAACTGTTACAAGTCCAACACTAGCCTGGACTACAAAGTGAGCTCCAGGTCAACCTGAGATGGATAGTGAGAACCTCTCTCAAAATAAATAAATAAATAAAAGAGGAAAATGATAAAGTGAATAGAGCCAGGTGTGATGGTGCATGCCTGTAATCCCAGCCGTTGGGAGGCTACGGCAGGAGTATTACTTTGAGTTTGAGGCCAGCCTGAGCTATACAGTGAGAACTTGTCTTAAAAAAAGTAAAGTCTGCCTCATTGCTATTTGTCTCTCAATAAAATTATGGGGGGAAAAAAAGGAAAGAAAGAAGGATTTTTTTTTTTTTTCCTGGCTGGCTCCGAATGCCTTCAGGGTAGGTTTGGCTGGCTTGAGTTCTGGGGGTAGAACCACAGCAACCTGAACCTGACTGCCTTGTTGAAGCAGCCACTTAAAGAACTGAGCTAAGGGCAGGCCCCCAAAAGGAAAGAAAGAAAGAAAGAAAGAAAGAAAGAAAGAAAGAAAGAAAGAAAGAAAGAAAGAAAGAAAGAAAGAAAGAAAGAAAGACAAATATTGAAGAGAAGCACAGACAACCCAAACTTTCCTCATAACTCAAATTTGACACAGTGCTTCTGGCCAGACTAGTGCAAGGAATGGAAAAACATAGTTCCCACGGATAAAGGAGGGTAAGAGTAGGAAAGGTTTATAGGGCGAAAGCTCCTGGGGGTCGGGAGGGCTCCCCAGTGGGTGGCCATGGAGGAACTTCGTCCAGGGTATTCTATACAGAGAAATCACGCGCGGGTACAACGTGGACGGCACTGCACCTCCCCCCCCCCCACCCCATCACTGGGCGGCTGCTCAGCTGTCTGGGTCCATCAGGGAAGCCAGGAGCAAGTATACGTGGCGGGCGCCTTCAATCTTCGCTCAACCAGCACTTCTGTTTTGTTTTTTTTGCAGAACCGGGGATTGAACTCAGGCCCTTGCGCTTGCCAGGGAAGTGCTTATTCCACTGAACCATCTCTCCGGCCCCAATACTTCTGATAAAAACGGAACAGACGCATTCTTGGGAAGGTCAGGGACGGAGGGGAGGCCGAATCCGGTTGTTCTGGGCACCCTGGATGCCTGTCTGGGCTCGCGGGACCAGGCAGTGTCAATTGCAGCTGCTGTTTATGTCTAAGGAGGCTCTCGGGCATGGCCACTGGGTATCCACCTTGAGGCCTGGCCCTCCTCAGATGCGCCTCCAATCACAATATTGGTGTGTTTTCCTCTTCTTCTTCTTTTTTTCTTTTTGTTTTTCTGAGACAGACTCGCGCTATGTAGTTTATCCTGTGTTTGAACTCTGTGTAACCCAGGCTGGATTTGAACTCAATCCTCCTGCCTCGGCTTCCCAAGTGCTGGGAGCTGGGCTTTCATCTTTTGCACTGAGTCCCTGGAGGGCCCACCCTGTCTGACTGCCTATTAATTTCTATCTACCTGAACTGTCTATATGCAGAGTTAGGTGTGTCTCCTTCGGGGACAATCAGGGTGACCACTCACCAGGGGGCGCCACTCCAGCCATTCTCAGCCCTGCGTGGGAAGCACCACACCTTCCGCAGGCCTCCGGTCAAGTGCGGCTGGGGTGTGGGGGGGAGGTAGGTAAACACCCAGCCAGGAAGTGCCGGGCAGGCGGGCAACGTGCCAGCCATGAGCCAGGCGGGTCTGAAGGTCAGGAAGGCTCCCTCCCGGGGGAAGCTCCGCAGGGAGAGGACGGGGGCTGGGCTGTGGCTCCCTGGGACGGAGTCAAGAGCTGGGGACCTAGCTGGGGACACATGGGTGTGTACGGCGGCCCCTGGATGGGACAGTGGTCACGGAGGAAGAGCTGAGCCGGGCACCCACGCCCGCCTGCAGGCTGCGCTACAGGTGAGTGGATGGCTTTGGTGTTTCTGAATGAGAGGGGATCAGACGCGTCGGGGACAGGCACCTGGGCAGTGTCCTGGCGCAGAGCAGCTGTGGCCTCGGCTTTGCCACTGAGGCCCCAGCCCGGATAGTCTTACTGTGGAGACAAGCGAAACAGTAAGTAGGAGTTGGGGCTGAAAAAATCATAACAAATCTCAGAACGACCTCGACACTCGGGACAGCAGTCGCGGTGCTCAGTGGGGCCCTGGTTCAGGAGGACAGGACCCGCCCTCGCTGCTGTCTTCCCGGTGTGTGACCCTGGCTGGCGCAGCCCGGGTCTGGGATGACACAGCGCTGGCAGAAGTTCTGGCCCGCCCTGATGGCACTGGAAGGTCAGACGGCCACCGCTGTAGTGCGAGTTCTGATTTGTGTGCTTGACCCTTGCACTGACTTCCGCGGTTCCGGACTGTCAGTGCCCTTGGGGGACGCTGGTGGACGCTAGACTGAGTGGCCTCCTGTCTCCTCATCCTGCCCTCTTCTCTCTGCCTTTCCCCTGCCCCTTTCCTTTCTTCTTCTTCATGCCCGCCCATGCTGTGTGAGACCCCTTGGCTCTGCCTCGGCACACTCAGAGGCTGAGGCAGGAGGATTGCAGGCTCAAGGCCAGCCTGGACAGTGCAGCAATTTAGTAAGATCCTATCTCAAACTAAACATAGGAAAAAGGGCTCATGATTTCAAACTCTAGCTCAGTGCAAAGGTCCTGATTT